CCAGTAACTACAACTCGCATATGTCATGGTCTATTTTCCCCCAAGAGTGCCTCAAGAGCGCCCCTGGGCACAATCAACTATACTGCAAATGCTTACTTTGCGTAATGGGTTGAGCCGCCCCTGCCTTTAGGTCCTCATCATTGTTTACCTTCATATATTGACTTTACTTGAAGAATTGTCCACTTTACAAAACTTACTATTTTGGATTTCTACTACCACCTGAAAAAGACTGCATATAGTCGAAACCGGTTGTGGTTGACAAACTGTGGATTTTGAAAAAGGACTGATAAACTGTTTGTTGCTGTGAACAAACTTTAACAAAATATGGCCTACAAACGGATCTATTCAACTGTAGGAATCAGCGGTGTATCTACATTAAGAAGCTCTGGATTAAGAGACTTGTAAAAAGGTTTACAAACTTTGTATTGTTATTGATAAATTTATTTTCAAAAGAACCTTAAAACAGCTGTAACATTTTGCTGTAAGAATTGGTTGATTATACCACATAAAAATAGTTTTGGGTTTAGAGAATTGTATCTAGTATAATTTGTACTAGATGCCTATATAATGAATGTTGTAGCAATTAAGCAAAGACATAATATACATTATTGCAATTATATAATTGTTTTACTTTTGTTCTTAGGGACAATCCAACCACACTTGAGCCATTCCTACCCGATTTGTGACTTGTAACACTCTTCACTCGGCTGCACTCTGCACAGGCTCAGGGGCACTTTCCCTTTCTGTGTATGATTCCTCAAACAAACAGTGGCAACAGCTGCAACCAGTTCAGGAAAACTCCCACTGTGTAACACTATGAGTTTTATTCTTGGATTAGAATTGTAATTTCCTAACTGGTTCTATCATGAAAATATGGGAAAAGTGTATTAAACTGCAAACATCATCCTGCAGCACATTTGGCTCTCGTTTTTCAGTGACTCTCTCATTGAGTCTGAACCCATGCAACATAGTTTGTGCCACCAAAATGAAGTTTCTAGAGTAGAACAACAACTTTCAAAGTAAGTACGACACAATAAAACAAAAAGGACACTTTCAAACCAGAAACAGATCCCCCTCCTGGCCAATTTTGCTACATAGTGCTAGGTGATCCTGTGCAGCCTTGCACTGGATCCCATTAGGTTTGCTTCTGAGTAGGTAACAGAGGAGGCCTTCCCTTTGACCAAGATAGGTATTGCTTAAAGAAATGCTTCAGGCAGGGCTGGGAATGGTTAGACTACAACTCCCACCATTCCTCAGCTTTGCCTGGAGTTCATAGGAAGTGCGATGAAACACTCCCCCCCCCATAAAGAACTGTATTTGCCGACCTCCCTTTCAAGTTCTCTACATATTTGATAGCGATATGTGTTTATATCCGTGTGACCCTATATATTCCCGAGAGCTTTCTGAGCCAAGGGATGCCAGAAATGGGCTTGCCAGTGCCTTTAAAAAAAAGAAATAGAGCCTGGTCTTTGTTGGTGGTCTCCCACCCAAATGCCAACCAGGGCTGACCCTGCTTAGCTTTTAAATAAGGCCTTTGGGGTATTCTTTAACCCATGTAGCCCCCAGTGCTGCAATGGATTAAACTTCTGTGCTGGCAGGACTGAAGACCAATACGTTGGAGGTTCGAATCCGGGGACAGTGTGGATGAGCTCCCTCTGTCAGCTCCGGCTCCCCATGAGGGGTCATGAGAGAAGCCTCCCACAAGGAGGTAAAAAATCAAAACATCCTGGTGTCCCCTGGGCAATGTCCTTGCAGATGGCCAATTCTTTCACACCAGAAGCAACTTGCAGTTTTTCAAGTCGCTCCTGACACGAGAAAAAAAACCAAACAAACCAGTGGTTCCCAACCTGTGCTCTGTGGACTACCAGTGGTACACAAGAACTAAAACATGGGCCGCGGCCTCACCATTATTGCACCGCTGCCTCAAAACCACACAGCAACGAGAGCGACTGGTCTTGCGAAGCCCTCTTATAGTGCTGAATCAACAGAGATGTTGGGAGGGGAGAGACTACCCATGAAAGATTACTGCTACTACATCAACTCTAGATTATTAAATATGGTTTTCTGTTGGTCTACAGGGACCATATTGACCAAGGTTGGGCTACTTATGACCATGAGGAACACCTACAGGGACCATATATATATATTGCTATCGGCACTGAATGTCTGCCATTGCATATTTCGTTGTCAGCTGCCGTGAGTCCCTTCGGGAGAATAGGGCTTGGATCATATTAGCCAAGGCTTAGCTATAGTATGACCATAATGAAGATCTGGAGACCTCCAGGCCATGTATAGCCTACCGAATCAAGTCCCTCCCCATTCCCCCACTGATTTTGGGGTCCAAGGTGGGCTCCCTTCCCCTCCCCTCCCCAGGTTTTTGGGCCACTCACTCACCAACCCATCAAAGCCACACTCTGGGCATTGGTGAAGGACGGTGGGGGCAGGTGCCCAGGTGCAGGTCCTGTAGGTCTAGCTAAAACCCAGTGCCCCATGGGTCCTTTAGGAGCACAAGGTGGACATTGGTCTGGATGCACTTGTACAGCACTGAGGTGGAGGGCACTACGGGAGGGAGGAGAGTAGGCGAGAGGATGACTGCAGCTGTAGTCCAAGGCAGCCCCTTCACCAGCCTTGAGTAATGGCCTGGGAGAGCTTTGAGATGGCTATTGAATGCCCCCTTCTTACCCCTCTGTGCTACAGCAAGTGCCAAGCTGAGGCCCACAACGCCCATCACACCTGACCCCATCTTGGTCCTTTCTCCTTGAAGCCCAGGAAGAGTCAATCTCTCAGCCCTAGCTGTGTATTGGCCCTTTATGCTTCTTCCCAGGTTACCCCAGGTGCTGGGTGTTCTTGCCCAATCAGCTTCCCTTCCAACAGAAGGAGGCAGCAGGACTCCAACTCCCATCACCCCTTGTCAAACTCAGGGGGTGATGGAAATGGCTCTTGTTCATTGTAGGGTATGGTTGCTGGCCACCAGGAATTTCTTCCTAATGTTCAGGTGGAATCTCCTTTCTGTAGTTTGAAGCCATTGCTCCGCGTACTAGTCTCAGGGCAGCAGAAAACAAGCTTGCTCCCTCCTCCCTATGATTTTCCCTCTCACATATTTGTACATGGCTATCATGTCTCCTCTCAGTCTTCTCTTCTGCAGGATAAACATGCCCAGCTCTTTAAGTCGCTCCTCTTAGGGCTTGTTCTCCAGACCCTTGATCATTTTAGTTGCCCTCCTCTGGACACATTCCAGCTTGTCAATATCTCTTTTCAATTATGGTGCCCAGAATTGGACACAAGATTTCAGGTGTAGCCTAACCAAGGCGGAATAGAGCATGACTTCCCTGGATCTAGACACTATACTCTTACTGATGCAGTCTAAAATCCCATTGGCTTTTTTAGCTGCAGCATCACATTATTGGCTCATGTTTAATGTGTTGTCCACAAGAACTCCAAGATCTTTTTCACATGTACTGCTGTCAGGCCCGTAGCCAGGATTTCGTTTCGGGGGGGGGGGGGGGGTGAATTTTTTTCGGGGGAGTTTCGGGGGAGCTGAGTCTGAGTGAAAGAGGGTCTACCCTAGCAAACCTTTTGTATCATTACCCCAATACCCCCATGCATATGGGATATATTGAGTATGGTGATCAGATCATGATATGAATAAACATAACAGTTTAAATAATGCACCAGTAAGGCCTTTTCGCGAACCACCATGAAAATTTCGGGGGCGGGGCTGAAGCCCCCCGAGCCCCCCCCCCCCGGCTACATGCCTGACTGCTGTCGAGTCAGGAGTCCCCCAACCCTGGACCACCAATGGTCCACAAGAACAAAAATATGGGCCGCAGCTTCACCATTTTTGCATCGCTCCTTCAAAACCACGCGGCAACGAGAACGACTGGTCTGGTGAAGCCCTCTTATAGTGCTAAATCAACAGAGACGTTGGGAGGAGAGAGACTGACTACCTATGAAAGATTACTACTACTACATCAACTCTAGATTATTAAATATGGTTTTCTTTTGGTGAGCAGATGGCAACTACTGGATAGCATATGTTCTGTACCAGAAACTAGAGGTGATGTGGTCTATCCAATGCAATTTTCTGAAGCAACACCCCAAATAACCAAATCAAATCTAAAGTTGACCAAAAACTGATTCCTAACCCTTTTGGTGCTAATGTTGGAGAGTGGTCCCTGGTCAAAGTGGTCTCTGGTCAAAAAAGGGTTGGGAACCACCGCATTAACCGGAGTGCCAATGTCCACCCTTCAATGCCATAGAGGAATCTCCAGAGCTATTCCTTGTTTGGCCTCCCATCCAAGTCCCAACTTTAGCTTCTGAAATGAGCATCCAGGGCCCTCACAAGGCTTTGAAGCTGACCTTTGCTCTTTCTCCTTCCACCCCAAGAAGAAATGGAGGCAAGGCTGGGAAATCCAAGATGCCAAGCCCATAACTAAATAGTTTCCAGTTTGTGACGTAGTTATGTATGTATTGTACAGTTATTAAGAAATGTGCTCTCATCTGAGGATAACCCTCTCCCAAATCCTAGAATGTTAAACCCATATTGTACAGTTATTAAGGAACGTGCTCTCGACCAAGGATAACCCTCTCCGCAACCCTCAGATGCTCGCCATTGCTTAACAATCGCACGGATAGGGAAATAAGGAAAGCGTTTTCTGTCTACAAACATTGGAAAGAGAAGAGGTGGAAAAAAGGGACGAGAGAATACTGCGGACAACCACAGAGTCTTTCTTGATGTTGTGGTCTGTTATTGTTTGCTTTAGTGTTCCTGCTCAGAATCGGCACGGCATCAAGCTCACACAGGGGCCTTTGCTGAGGCGATAAGGAGATCTTTAGTTTCTCAGCCGCTCTAGTCTTCTGTTGACTTGGTCTAGTGTTGAAGCCAGTTGGCACGCTCTCTGGTGGCACGATGACAACATAGACGACCCACCAATATATATGAGGAAGGAAGGAAGGAAGGAAGGAAGGAAGGAAGGAAGGAAGGAAGGAAGGAAGGGGAATGGGAAGGATAAGCACCAGGCAGTTCTCGTGGTGGGTAAGGGAGAGGGGCTGCCACCCACACCTACCACTTGAGGAACTTCTGCACTCGCCTCCAGAGCTTCGGGATCCACAGGTTAACTCCTAAGTCCGTCAGGTACTGGATCTCGGGGGTCAGCATCTTGCGGCACAGCTTGCGGTGCTTCTTGTGGATGTGCTTCTTGAGGTTGTAGCCCAGGATGGACTTCTCACCCAGGGGCTGCCAGGGCTGCATGGCGGACTCCTGGATGGCGTTGGCGTCCACGGGGCGGCCCCCGTCAATGCAGATGCGGGTCATCTTCTTGTTCTCCTCCTGCAGGCGGGCCACATCCTTGGCCATGCGTTCCCTTCCGTAGGCATCCACCTTGCTCCAGAATGTGGCGTTAAAGTGCCGGTAGAGCTTGGCGTCGATGAGGTTCCAGGCGGTGGCCTTCTGGTAGAGCTCGTCCGTCAAACGTGATACCGTGGAGTCCTTCCGGGCATTGAGTTTGAAGTAGAGGACATCCTCCAGATCCCAGCAAAGCAAGTCCTTAAGAAGCACCAGGGACTCGTCAAAGTACTCCAGCAGCATGATCAAGTTGAAGCGTCTGTTGATCTCTTGGATGGACTGCTCCACCCAAGGGCTGTTAGGGTTCAGGGTGTTATCGTACCCCAAGTCAAAGAAGAGGAGGTTCTGCAGGTAGTGAGCGTTGAAGCCCTTGGGGTTGTAGTAGCGCCAGGGGTCCCGCAGGAACTCAGCCAGCTTGTCCTCCCCAGAGAGCTTCCAGGTGAAGGGAATGAGGCGCCTGAAGTAGTGGAAGGAGGACTCAAAGAGGTATGCTGGGTCCCGCATCACAGTAACAAAGGTGGCGCCAGCTGGCAGCAGGTTGCGCACCTCCTCATACTGGAAGCGCATGTGGTTGCAGATGATGTTGAAGCACATGCCCGGGTGGTAGTCCCGCACCTGGCTGCGCTCAAAGAAGGATGGGTAGTAGAAGTTGTTGCGGCCATTGGGAAAGGCAAACTTAAGACGGTGCTTCTCCCCAAAGCGTAAGAAGATGTTGAGGATTGTGCTGCTGCCCGTCTTGTGAGTCTTCATGAACATGATGTCCTGCTTGGGGAGGCACCTGTGGCCCGGCATGCTGTGGCTCGCGCTGGATGAGGACAGCAGGCGGGCTGGGGCACGGAAGGAGGAGCAAGCAGAGGGGATGGGGGTCCTGGAAAAGAAAGGCCAAGGGTCAAGACTCCTTGCATCAGACCAAAAGAATGCTCCGGCTCCTTTCCCAAACTATGCCTTCCAAGCATTGAATCATTGAGTGTTCACATGTGGGACTCTAGGACTATATCGTATTTAAATTAGACAATTACTGAGGTGAAATGAGCTCCTGCCTCCAGAGTTTCAGCAGTTACCTCCTAGACAAGATGAAATTTAATGACATCAATCTCCTAGAAAGTAGGTTAGGATGTTCCTAGAGTTCTCTAACCCAGCACTCTTCAGAAAGGGAACTGCAGGGACTGCAAGGAGCATTTAGTCTAATGCCCCTACTATTTGAGGAACCACATTGAAGAGGGCCTTACTGTCTGAAGAACCGTGTCTCCCATTACGAGCTGCCCACGTTTTGCAGATGGGGTTGCAATGAGGCAGTTCACACACATCAGGAACACCTTGAAGCAGGAAACCAGCCCCTCAGGGAGACCCTTCCCCTCTCCTGTCTTGTGGCACCGCTGTTCTACTTGCGGGGAGTTTTCAGGCAAGGGCGCATAAACCCCCCTCCCAAAGGGAGAGATCTCCACTTCTTCCATCCCAAGTTTCAATTCAGACCCAGCTCACTCACTTGGTTATGCTGACTTGCAAGGGCGAGATGGCGTAGGAGTAGAGCAGCAGCATGAAGCTGGTCAGGAGTATGGCCAGCGCCAGGCCCTTGCCCATGGAGCGCCAGTTCTTCCTCCGAGGCAGTATGGCCATCACCTGCAAGCGGAGTCAGGGGGGAAAAGACAGTCAAAAATGCCTAGCCGCAGAAGGAGCGATGAGGGATGGCAGCAGAAAGGGTGGAGAGCTGAGGGTGAGCCTTTAGGTATTGGGTGGGGTGCTTTTAATATATAATCCTAAACTTTATTTGTATTCCACCCTGTCTCTCCAAGGAGACAGGGTGGATTTCAAAAACAATTGCAATCATTCAGTGCCGTAATGCATTAATCCTAGCAAATAAAATAACAAAGTAATCTGTTCCCAAAATAGAAATCAGAAACCAACATTTGAGACAAACTAATAATCCAGAAATTAAATAATAACATTATCTATCAAATAACATAACATAAACCAAATCTAACCCAGTGGTTCTCAGCCTGTGGGTCCCCAGATGTTTTGGCCCACAACTCGCAGAAATCTCAACCAGTTTACCAGCTCTTAGGGTTTTTGGGAGTTGAAAGCCAAAACATCTGGGGACCCACAGGTTGAGAACCACTGATCTAGCCTAAAATTATTGAAGACATTAAACATAAATTTATAGAAACCACAATTAAATATTCAATTTAAAATAGTTTAAAAAATGATTATACAACCAAAAAAATCACAGAGCCAACAAAGCCTACCGAACCAGAACCAACAGAGCTAGAGTATAAGAGCGATTTACAGTCGGTGGTATATTAACTATATGTAAGTTTCTAATCCCCCTCTTCTCCATATGCAAGCGTACAAAGGTAGGTTTTTAATTATGGGAAAAATAGACCCATTTATGATCCCACAGCAAYRTGGTTTCAGAAAAGGGAAGAGTTGCACATCACTAGTACTAAACCTGATTCAGCACATAGAAGATGGTTTTGAAAMATAGCAGATTATAGGCTATCTTTAATCTGCTATCTTCATAGAACTCTTGGGAGCTTATGATATGTAAACCATTGACTCCTCCTGAAAAAAAAATGTATAATATCACAAAGGATAATCACCTCACCCGTTTCATAGGAAATTTGATAGAAAACAGGAGTTTTTTTGTTGAGTTGCAGGGCCAGAGAAGCAGATGGTGAAAACAGAACGGCCTTCCTCAGGAGAGTGTGCTCACTCCATTGATGTTTAACATTTATACAAATGATCATCCACTGCCAGAAGGGACGGGGAGTTTTATGTATGCTGACAACCGCGACATCACCACTCAGGCAGGGAGCTTTGAAATATTTGAACAGAAGCTCTCCAAAGCTTTAGTTGCTCTTACTGCCTTTTATAGGGAAAACCAGACAATTCCTAATCCATCTGAAAAAAAGAGGCGGGGTTGGAGCATGGCATCCTGCAAGCAGCTCTTGTACTAAGTTCTGGAAAAACCCAGCATTTTCCACAACTCCCAAGCCAAAATGCCATCCAAGGGCAGGAAAAGAAACCGGGTTAGCCCCAGCAATGTTACAGGGGTTCATAAGGTAAAGGTTTCCTCTTGACATGAAGTCCAGTCGTGTCTGACTCTGGGGTGTGGTGCTCATCTCCATTTCTAAGCCGAAGAGCCGGCGTTGTCCATAGACACCTCCAAGGTCATGTGGCCGGCATGACTTCATGGAGCACCGTTACCTTCCCGCCGGAGTGGTACCTATTGATCTAGTCACATTGGCATGTTTTCGAACTGCTAGGTTGGCAGAAGCTGGGGCTGACAGCGGAAGCTCACACCGCTCCCCGGATTCGAACCTGCGACCTTTCGGTCAACAAGCTCAGCAGCTCAGCGCTTTAACCCACTGCGCCACCGGGCGAAACAAATGAGAATTGACTCCTACCTACCAGCCACGGAGATGGCGACTGATACAGTGAGTGACAGACCTTCGCTTTTGGGCCCTAAATCAGACCCTATAAATTTCACAAGCACAAGCCCCTTATCCCCTTTGACCTCTCATGGGACTAGCCTAGGATTCTCGCCTGTGCAGGGAAGCAGTGCAGATAGAATCTTGGAACTTTCTGCAAATCCTCCGGGCACCCCCCACAAGCATATCAATCAATCCTGCAAAGAGATATGCTTGCTTTCAGCTGAATTTKTGATTCTCKTGTTACAAAGAGTAAATGAGATTGTTGAACAAGTAAAAAACCTACAGGAATCCRGTCAGCAGCCTCCCTCTCAGGGTAAACAAGGGATTAACAAAACCTTGCTGAGYCACGCCAAGCTGTAGATGAGTCCTCCAAAAAAAAAAAAAAAAAGGAAAAGGAAAAGGAAAGAAAAGAAAAGAAAAAAAAGGAAAAAAAAGATTCTGCTTCAATTTCAGCACCGGAACCACAGCAGATGGAGAAATAAAAAGAACCTAAAGACTTCTCTGTCCCATTTATTACAGCTTCAGCTTCCCTCAACTGAGTATGAAGTCGAACATGCCTCCCCCCCCCCCAATAAAAGATAGTAACTTATAGTTTTGCTAAGGACAAGGACGCCAGACTGGATAATAAGGGTTAAGCCTTGGTCAATTTGCCAAGACACTAACAACAACAAGGACCCTTCCCATGTTAGATAGTGTGTACATTTAATCAAGGTTTTATGCCCTATGTTTCATATACAGCAGAAGGTGGCACATTTATTTCTAAGAAACCACCTCCCTTTACACTTATGTGCTCTCTTGAACTTCTATGGGACTCTGGTGGGAGGGATAAGTGGGTATGTTTTCTATATCATGATTTCTATATTCCTCCCTGTGTATCTGACCTTTTCCTGACCCTTTTGCCCAATTCCCCTTTATTGAAAAATGTATAAAAATACAAGGCAGCCACCCCTGCGTGACCCTGGAAAGAAGAAAATCTCCAGTTGAAAAGAGTCTTATCAAAAGACACTTTTTTGCATGGACAYTAACAAAGGATCGTGACCTCTGGCCTCGGAGTTGGCCCCCCAGAGGAAGCAGTCACTTGGCATTTTTGATCATATCTCAATAGGACAAAGGAAGCCTTCGGAAAGCCACACCTTGTCCTAATCTGTTACTGATTCAACTTTTATCCACTGAAACCACAGCCAAGATTCCCTCATTGTTCCTGTCTCTCAGCACTGGAAAAAATCCGGATTACGTTTATTGCAGCCACTCAATGACAATAGGAATGGCTGGCTCGCACGCCCCAGGACTCATTGGCCGCTTGGACATTTCCTACCTCCATAATCCTCTCAAGAATCCATTGTCTCCCTCTCGTCCCGCCTCCCTCTCTCCTGATTTGTCAGGATGCTGAGGCAGCAAAAGCCCAGCAATTGGCCCAGGCGCTCAGGAAGAGGCGAAGCCTCCTCCTAGCTGTAGAGCACCAGCCAATCATTGTTGAGCCGGCAGAGAGGCGGGGAATGGGAGATTCAAACCTGGCAGCTCTGTTTTATGTATAAAAAGGCCTTTATTTTTGTACACTGTATGCTTAGCTTGGCAAAATATTGCTGCTTTGCATCCTTTTCAGCTGAATCACAATAAAATCATCTTGGTAGGCGCTTCCTTCAACTTTGGTGAGATTCTTTTTGGGAACTTAGGGAAAAATATTTTAAACTGCGGCTTCTCTTGCTCACCACTGTAACGAGTCCTTTTTGGTGGGTCCACAGGGTCTCTCCTTCAGGGCCAGACCCTTTTAAATTCCTCCATGATTTCAAGTAGACCCAGCAGCAGCCAGCAACCCCATGGAGAACCCCACAACCCATTCCTAAACTTTGTTAATGAAATCAAAAAAGTTTACCTACTTTTGATGTTTTTGTCTATTTTCCTGCCACTACATTCAAACCACTTCCCCAACCTGTGGGGACCAGGCTTCCAGTAGAGGAAACCCCTGTAACCACGCCCCCCCATATCTGTTTATCTATAATCTTGTTTATGCTTTTGTATCACTTTATGATATTATTGGAGAAGTTGCCAACTCAGTCTTGCGATAACCTTTGCCGGCATTTTTCCTGTCCTGGGAAGATCAGCCAACATCTTGCCAGGCTTCATTTGTATTTCATGGGATTTAATCAGCTACCTCAATATAACCCATAAGACCCAGGTGACACAGAGGTCAACCGGAGCCAGGTGGACCAACCCTCCTTTGTGTTGCTGTTTGGACAATACGTGACATTTGCCATACCACTGTCTTGGAAAGGCTATTTTCCCCCTTTGTTATTCCCCATCATTGAACATTTATATGGACAATGCTTCCTGCTGGAACTTGCATCAGAGTCTGGTGTTCGGGACACTAGGCTCGATCAGGAACTGAATGCATAAGGGACAGTAAAGGTTCAGAAGACCCATCGGGGTCATTGTGTCTGCACAAAAGGGATATTTKATCCCATTACCAATCAARATCTCACCTATTGTTCTGAGATCTGCCAGCCCCTCTCCAATCATTGGACAGAGGGAAATCTACATCAGAGGTGGCCAGCACCTTCTCATTGGCTGAGGCACACTGAACTCCTGCCTCTCCAGGGAGCCCCCACTGACGTCACTCCGGCGAAGCCAATCACAGCGAAGCCAGGTCCAGCTGGGGTGGCGGGAATTTTGAACCTGAAAAATGTATTAAAAAGTGCCTTTTACTGTTTTATGTATCTCAGCTATCCTTTAGCGGGCTGCCACAAGCTGGCATCACTTCAGCTGGGTTTAATAAAATCTTCAGTGACTTCTCTCCAACTTGGTGAGCATTCTTTCGTCGAGTCGGGCTTCCTTACGCTCGCCAAGCGCATGGATCCACAGGCTGGCTGAGCACCACAGCCACTCGCTGCTTAATAGGTGTGGCTCTCGGTCTCGGGTTCTGGCTACCTGCGGCATGGTGCTCACTATCAGTGGCTGCTCCAAATTTCTCTATTTCAAGCCTATACAGAGAAAGGATCCCCCAAAGTACAAAGGCAAAAGGCCACTATAAACAAAAATATAATGCAACAGTATAAACCATAAGAATGTTTTTCATATATATGCTATGGTCATAGAACATTCAATGTACAAACAAGGTTTGTCGAAGTTCAAAGTATACGTAACAATGATTCAAAATACAAGTCTCTTAACCAAAATCTTCCTTATATGGGAAAGTTACTTACTTACTTACTTACATAGGCAATCCCTCGTTGTCCAAGTGATG